AAAGGGAGTGGAGGCTAGGCGAGGTGGCTCATCCCTGTAATCCCAGCACTTTGGGAGGTGGAGGCAGGAGGATCTCTTGAGCTCAGGAGTTTGAGACCAGTCTGGGCAACATAGCTAGACCCCATCTCTACAAAAATATTAAAAATTAACCAAGTGTGTTGGCAGGTGACTGTAGTCTCAGCTACTTGGGAGGTTGAGGTGGGAGGATCACTTGAGCTCAGGAAGTCAAGGCTACAGTGAGCCATGATCACACCACTGCACTCCAGCTGACAAAGTGAACCCCTGTCTCAAAAAAGAAAAAGAAAAACTTTATCAAAAATGTGCAAACCCTCTATAATAAAAGCTACAAAATATTGCTGAGAAATCTAACAAATAAATAAATGATTATTTGTATTTGGTGTTGTCTTTAGATGGAGATGACATTCTTTTACTGCTTTATTTAAAAAAAAATAATAAATGGAGTGGGATGAAGCCTGGACCTTGGAGAAGGAATAGGACAAGGAAGTCCTAGAGGAGGCTGGGGAAGAGAAGAGCCTGGGTGTGCATAGGAAGTCATAGCCTTCTGCCTGTCTAGGAGGGAGGCCACACAGCTGGGATACTGTTTCTGGGATCAGATAAGGGATACAGTGAAAAGAAAACATGCTTCCCTTTCATGTACCACTTACAACTATCTTGCGGACCATATCTGGTGATATGCATACCACGTTTTCAGAAAAATTTCAATAATATCATTTTTATCAGCCTCAGAGCTAGCTATCATATGAGCAGAATGTGTTCTTGTTGGACATTTATATTGTTTCTAGTTGATGTTTGTATGAGCATGCTGTACTGAATGTCCCTGTAGCTAAGTCTTTGCTCACAATCGCAATAATTTTATAAAGAGAAATTACTGTGAATGGGAGAGTGAGTGTGAGGAAAGGGAATGCAAGAGCAAAGGACATAAACAATTTTAAGGCTTCAGATAAGTAATTTTCAATTGTCTCAATTAACATTCTAACACAAGCATATAATGATATCTGCTTCCCCATGTCCCATTATCACCGAGTATTATTTTTTTAAAAATGGTGAGATTTAATTACATCTTAAATGGAAAAGACATCTTTCTTTAAAAAGTGACAGGATGTCCTCAGATGTACAGGCATCAAGAGAGATTATCAGTAGGCAAGTTCATGCTGCCTCCCTGTGGCGCATAAAATACTGACAAGATAGAAAATCAAATCTAACCAGATAGGGACTATCTAAGCAAGTCATCCACATTAACTTATTTAGAGCTAAAGTTTTAGAAAGTGGGTGGAAGAAACACACACACAAAATTGACTTGATCTTAGCATATTAGAGGATATGGGAACTAGAAGAAAAACATTCTTACCCATGACTAGAACATGTGTGACATGATGCACTCAGAGATGATTTATTAAACTGAGTGATAACAAAAGAAAATTGACTTTTCAACGTCAGGCTCCAAGGAAAGATCACTCACAACTTCCTTGGAGGGCTATGGAACTACATATATCTTGTGTATTTCATATCTGTTTCTCCTACAAGACAGTGAAGAGAACAAGGTGCAGTCTTCTAAGGTAACTATTTCCCTGAAAAGAACACTCATAACAGTAATTATGTACTCTGTGTCTTCGACTAAGTTTGGGGGAGAAAGTTTATTTTTACTTTGAAATTGTTTTTGTGTGCAAAACACTATGTTCCCTAGCAACAAAGCAGGAAAGGAAAAGAGAAAAAGCTGCAAAGACAAATGATGGTCTTTGTACTAAAAGGAGTTACTAATCTTTTGCTGTTTTCCAGAGTTCCATCCTCTTTTCTGTTTACTTGTTACTACATGATCTCATCTAATCCCAGGACTGCAAATGCCACTGGCACAGTAATCCACTTGCTCATTCAATCTTTGACTTAGATTCACTGTGGATAAACAATATGTGTAGTATTGTTTCCGTGAGACTTGATGGAGACACAGACATCAAATAATCATATCAATAGATAATGTATTTATAGATTATGTCAAGTAAGAGGAAAAGTTCAGGTTACCATGAGAATGTATACTTAGTTTACTGGTTCTTAAATATTTTGCTGTCATACCCCTAATGCTCTCACATCTGTAATGATTGATTACTAATTGATTGATAATTGAGTACTTGCTTAGATTCTTCAATCATTTTTTTAAAAATAAAGTACTAAAATTAGACACTAACTGACTTGAAAAATGATTTTCTACTTAGCCATTAGAATGGTCTACAATCTTAATTTCTGGGAAGCTTAACAAAGGGGCTCTAAAAAATTATATGTGTTATTATTTCACTTTTAGTTTCCTTATTTAACACATATACTCAGAAAATACACTGTTAATTTTAAGATACTTTTTCAGAACTCCTTTTTCAATGAGGTATAGCATACATACATAAAGTGCACTCATCTTTAGTGTACAGATCAATGGATTATTATTATTATTTTCTTTTTGAGACAGAGTCCTGCTCTGTCACCCAGGCTGGAGTGCAGTGGCATGATCTTGGCTCACTGCAACCTCTGGCTCCCAGGTTCAAGCACTTCTTGTGCCTCAACCTTCTGAGTAGCTGGGATTACAGGTGTGCACCACCACGCCTGGCTAATTTTTGTATTTGAGTAGTAGAAATGAGCTTTTGCCATGTTCAGGCTGGTTTTGAACTCCTGACCTCAAGTGATCTGTCTGCCTTGGCCTACCAAAGTAGACAGACATGAGCTATCATGCCTGACCAGATCAATGAAGTTTCAATTTTATAATGTGTTCATTTCTACAAAACCTTGGAGTTGAAGTCTGCAGCCTCAATAAAATAAAATACCTCTTTATTTCAAATTTTAAGTACATTAGGACTTCTTACTTACATTTTTGGGTTTGTTTTAACAGAACTCTCCCTTGGGCACATTGTATTGTTTAAAAATGTCAAAGAGATAGAAAAAAAATGTCCTCACATTTCCTAGCGTTTTCAGATAAAATATACAATGACAAATTAAATTTGAATTTCAGAAGCTAATAATTTTTCAGTGCTTTAGTATATCTGGAACATATTCATACTAAAAAATTGTTATTTATCTGCAATTCAAATTTAACTGGGCTTCTGTATTTTTACTTGCTAAATCTGGCAACTCTACTCATGTTCAACTCCACATTGTGTCTAATTATCAACAGCCCTACATGCATCAAAATATTCCACTTCTAATGTTGTGCTTTGTGTCTCACAGAAATTTAAATAATATGGAAAGAGACACAATGGCCCTACAAAGGAAGGTTTCACTGTTGCTAGTATTTTAAACAGCTGCTTATTTGTTCAGTGTCTGAGGGGAATTTACACTTCAGGGCAACAGACAATAATAAATATAGGCAATGAAACATCTCTTTTTGAGACGGAGTCTTGCTCTGCCACCCAGGCTGGAGTGCGATGGGGTTATCCCTGCTTACTGCAACCTCTGCCTTCGGAGTTCAAGTGATTCTCCTGCCTTAGCCTCCTGAGTAGCTGGGATTACAAGCATGCGTCATCACACCTGGCTAATTTTTGTGTTTTTAGTAGAGACAAGGTTTCACCACTTTAGCCAGGCTTGTCTTGAAATCCTGACCTCAGGTAATCCACCCACCTTGACCTCCCAAACTGTTGGGATTACAGGCGTGAGCCACTGCACCTGGCTAGGAGACATTTTTATTTATAAATGGGAAACTGGGCAACAGTGAAAAGGAAGGAGAAAAGAGGAACCAACCAGCTGATTCTAGCTTGCAGGTGTTTTGGTTCTTTTAGGCAGTTCAACCTCGGAAAAAAGCACATTTAGAAGATAAGGGTCTGAAAATTGATTCCTTTGGGACTGTTATGCCTGTATACCCCTTTGGGAAACTTTTGGGCATTTCTCAGTGTATAGAAGAGCATTCCAGTCATGACTACACCCAGACTCAGAAGTCTTCTCAGAGGCAGCAGCCTTTAAGCTGAGAACTGAAGGATGAGTGTAAGTCAACTGATGTATGGATAACGTAAGATTGATTAGATGTTCACAGAGACTTCCAGCAGATTTCAAGTTAAAAAGCATATAAGTTAGAAAGCAGTATGTGTAGCTTGCCTTTCAACTTTGTTTATGGTTTCCTTTTTGGTGAAAAACCTTTTTAGCTTGATGTAATGACATTTGTCTATTTTTGCTGTTGTTGCTGTGCTTTTGAGGTCTTACCCAAAAAATCTTTGCCCAGACCAATGTCCTGTAGTATTTCCTTAAAATTCTATTCTAGTAATTCCATAGTTTCAAGTCTTAAATTTAAGTCTTTAATCCATTTTGAGTTGATTTTTATTTATGGTGAAAGATGAGGATCTGGTTTAATTCTTCTACATATGGATATCTAGTTCTCTCAGCACCATTTATTAAAGAAACTGTCCTTTCCCTAGTGTAGGTTCTTGGTGCCTTTGTCAAAAATAGATTAGCTCTAAGTGTGGAATTTACCTAGGAGGAAATATCTGCAAATCATCCCTCCAAGAAGGGATTAATAACTAGGATCTATCAGGAACTAAATAATGAAATAGCAAAAAACCAAATAATCCAATTAAAGGATGGGCAAAAGACCTGAATAGACATTTTTTCAAAAGGAGACACACAAATGGCCAGCAGGTATATGAAAAAAAAGTTCAACATCACTAATTATCAGGGAAATGCAAATCAAAACAGCCATGAGATATCATCTCACCCCAGCTAGAATGACAATTACCAAAAAGACAAAAAATAAATCCTGTTGAGGATACAAAGAAAGGAGAACATCAATACACTCTTGGTGTGAATATAATTAGAACAGCCACCATGGTAAATAGTATGGAAGTTTCTCAAAAAAACAAAAATTGATCTGATAGACATCCCAATTCACCTGAGAGAATTGTTACACATTGCATATATATATCAAAATATCATATGTATTCTCAAAATATGTACAGCAATGATATATCAATAAAACTACAAAAAGAGAAAAGTGTGTGTGTGTTAAAGTGTCCCAAGGTCCCCTGTATTATTTAAAAAGAAGGTAAAAATATTAACTTTAGAATTTGTTCAATTAAATGTTAAAAATTGTTGAGTGGCCACCAATAATTAGATAGTACCAGAAGACAGCAGAAAACAGTAGATAGATCCAGAAAGACAGTACGAGAAGATAATACCAGGAAAAATTACTTCCCAAGTGGTAAAGGAGAAAATGGTGTGTTGGGGGGGAGGTAGGGAGTTGAAAGGAGAAATGTAAGGATAGAATACAATTAAATCAATTCAAGAGAAAGCATTTCTGAAGAAATCTAGAAAAAGTAGGAAGACTTAACACATAAAAAAAAAAAAATGGTAGAAGTCACAAAATATCAGAAATCATAACCAATATCAATGGACCAAACAGAAATGCAAGCTTTCAAGACTGATTAAACAAAGAGTAAACAAATAACATTGGGCTACATGTTGTTTATAAGAGCCACACTAAAGTATAAGGACAAGAAGGAACGTTAGTAAATAAAAGGATATAAAAAGATACACCATGGCAAATACCAGCTCGATGAATGTATTTAGCCATGCTAAATAAATGTCAGGTAAAATACCTGAAGGCAAGGCAAAAATTTTCTTGACACACAGAAAGCTGTTACAAATTGATAAAATGGTCAATTCATCAGAAATTTTAAATATGTACTTTATAACAAAGTATAGAAAAGACAAATAGGGAGACTTAGCTGATAAAAGTGACTTTCTGTAACTGATAAAGCTGACAAACACATCAGTAACGAATACTAGCACTTGAACACAATTAACAAACTTGACCTATGTACATAAATTTTAAAAATGACTAGGTACTGTGGACAGAAGCAAGTATCAAGAAATTTTAAATAACTGGTATCATTACAGACCACATTCTCTGGCACAGTGCAATTAATGCAAGTAAGTCACAAATGAATATCAAAAAGCTAATAACACATTTTCACATATTTGGAAATTAAGGAAAATTATCTTTTACCCTGATGGCAAAAGAAATCTCAATAGGAATTAGGACAATTTTAAACTAAATGCCATTAAAAACTTAAGAGATATAATGAAAGTAGTACTTGAAGGGAAATTCATAACTTAAATATATTTTTCAGGAAATAAGAAAGGTAAAAAATAGAGAGTAAACATTAAGCTGAAAAAAATGAAAAGTAATAAAGTCAGAGAAACAAAATAGAAAGAATACAGATAAGGAAAAATAAAATGGAGAGCAATTACAACAAGAAAAAACAATACAGAGAGGATTAATAAGACTGGTCAAGAAGAAAAATATATAATCAACATACACAATAAAGGAGGAAATGATAGAAAGAAATAGACAACTTGACTCCATCTGTGAGCATGAAACAACTGATGTGGAAGGCAAGATTTTGTCTCCCCCAAAACCCTACCCAGATGCCTTTATAGTTGAGTTCCTAATTTTTCAAGGGACAGTTAATTCCTGTCCTTATTATATAATGTCATATAAATTACTGCAGAACAAAGAAAACTAGTGAGAGTTGCATGGCACATTTTATGAGACTAGTGTAATTTTTCAAATACAGTTTTTCTTGAAAAATAACTACAAATTTACAGAACAGTTCCAAGAAGAGAAGAAGGAACAGGTCTCCTCCCCATGTGAAAGTAAACTGCTGACATTTTGCGCAATAACCCCCATTACTTTGTCTATTTCCTATAAACAAGGAGTTTTACATACATAACCATAATATAACACTGGGATCAGGAAATTAACATTACATACATTAATACCATCTAATTCGAGGACCCAATTCAAGATTCTCCAAAATAGAGAAACAGAATTAACTGCAATAACTTAGCTAAATATCTGATTAGCTGGTGCTCGATAAATAGCCATTCCTTTCACTAATTCCCTGGGGACTCCTGAGTTTCTGTCCTGGTAGTCACAAGATGGATCCGTCTGCATCGTCTCCAATCTGCACAGCCGGAAGTGGGGTGACACCACCCCAATGTGTCACACTCATATGACACACTACATCCTCTCTACCACATTAACCCGTCCAGTGTCTCTCTATGGCCCCTGTCCGAGAGGCAAGGCTGGGCTGCCCACCTGGAGCCTAACGCCAGCTTCATGAACTCCCAGTGGGCACCGCCCTTACCGGACAGACACAGCCTCCGCCCTCAGGAAGGTGGAGACAGCACCAGACGGCGAAGCTTTGCGCAGCTGCAGGCCTCCCCCCACCACACTGCCTTCAAGACCGCACATGCTCCCTGGGGCCCCTGCGGAATTACGAGGGGTGGGAATCGGTCACCAGTTTGCCGCCATCTTGGGCTCTAGCAGTATTTTTCCAGCTGTGGAAGCACGGCCTGACCCGCAGCAGAGACTTGGTAAACGCCGGCTCTGCTTATGTATGGTTAGCCTGCTCCAGGTACTATTGGTTTCCATGGTACTTTCACACTTTTCTCCTCTGACCCACAGGGGCTTTGGCCTCCCAGGGTCGGGGCTGCGATCTGAGGTCTGTCGTGGGGTCCTCAGCTGCTGGGTGTTCTCCTGCCTCTAATGGCGGTGGCTCGGACTCAGCCCTTCCTCAAAAAGTGCAGTTATCAAGGAGGGGAGCCCCCAGCATATGGGATCAACAATGGCTGATCCTAATGCCAAGCTGTGTGTAAGTGTGAGAGAGATCCTAAGGCCAGGGTGCGTATGAGTGTGAGATACCATAATGCTAGGGTTGTGTGCGGAAGAGATCGTAATGCCAGGGTGTGATTGTGTGAGTGTGAGAGAGATCCTAATGCCAAGGTGTGCATGAGTTGTTGCGTGTGTGTGTGTGTGTGTGTGTGTGTGAGAGAGAGAGACAGAGACAGAGAGAGAGAGAGTGTGTTAATATAGTCCAAAAGACATAAAGATAGTGAAGGTAAGGAAGTGCTTTTCTGAAGAAATTTATTTTTGATGAGTCACTTAATTGAAGAAATTTATTTTTGACGAGTCAATTGTTGTACCACTTTAATAATATGTTCATTTTTTTAACCTTTTGAAATTGACAAGAAATATAAGCTCTTTACAGCATGTCAGAGAAAACAGAGGGTAAAGTGAATTCTCTTTTACCCTCTGGAACTCTTTCCAGTTCCATCTCCTAATTTATTTGTTTGATATGTACCTGTCACTTTCCTCTATTTATATACAAACATATATTCATGTATATATGTAAGATATCATTTTAGTATCTTTTCATATTACTCTGACAGTCATACTCCCAAATTAAATAGGTCTTAAGACCTATTCATCAGAACCAAAAATTTTTTATTAGTAATTACAAATATAAAGTAGGTCCTCTATGAATTATTCTGTTCCTACATTAATGAACTTCGATGTTGTACATAAGTGCCTGTGCGTGTGTGTCTGTTTTATAGCTTTAGTGAAGTATATCTGAGAAATAACAAACTCCACATATTTGAAGTGTACAATTTGGTGATATTTGACACACGTATGCTCTATGGAAACCACTGTAAACAACATCATAAGCATATCCATCACCTTCAAAATTTTCCTTTGGTCCCACTCCAACCCAAGCTCCCCTTCTACAAGTCAATCACTGATCTTTCTGTTAATATAAATTAATTTGCATTTTCTAGGATTTTATACTAATGGATTCCTGCAATGTGTATTCTCTTTGTGTTTCAGCGTAATTATTTTGAGAATCATCCATGTTTTTATGAGTTTCATTGCTTAATTCCTTTTTATTGTTGGATAGTTTCTAGTTTATGCTGTACAACCATTGTATGGTTCCATTATTTATTGGGTTGTTTTGTTTTGGCTCTTACAAATAAACTTGCTGTGAACAGTCTCCTACAAGCTTTTGCATGGCCATATACTTTCATTTATCTTGAGTAAATACTTGGAAGTGGATTGACTGGATCATGTGGAAAGTACATGATATATATATTTAACTTTTAAAGAAACTTCCAAACTGTTCTCCAAAATGTTTGTACCGTTTTACAGTTCTTTCTGTAGTCTGTGACCTTTCCAGTTACACCATACCCTCACCAATGTTTGGCATCGTTGCCCTTTAATTTCAGTCATTCTAGTGGGTGTTAAGTGTTATCTTAGTGCAATTTAATTTGCATTTGCTTGGTGACAGTTGATGTCTTTTTCAAGTGCTAATTTTCTATCCATAAATCTTTGGTAAAGTGGCTGCTAAATATTTTACCTACTTTTAAATTGGATTATCTTTTTACCATTGAGTTGTAAAAGTTCTTTATATATTTTAGAGGCAGGTGCTAGACTTTATGTTTTCCAAGTATTTTCTCACTCTCTGTGGCTTGCCTTTTAGTTTTTTTACTGTGGCTTTGGAAGAGAAAAATATTTTAATTTTGATAAACTCTGATGTATTGATTTTTTCCCCTCTTTGGTAGTTCAGATTTTTTGTGTCCTATTTAAGACATCTTTGCCAAATCAAGGTACCTAAGATTTTCTATTTTTTTTCTGAGAAGTTTTATATATTTAGTTCTTATAGTCCATTTACAATTATTTTTTGTATATGGTCAGTTTTTTCCCCCTTTTAAGCATATGGCTGTCTGTTACAGCATCATTTGTTGTATTACTGGCACTTTGGTTGAAAATTATCTTTTATTGATAAATGATTGACCTTATACATCTGGGTCTTATTTCTGGATTCTCTGATCTGTTCCAGTGAATTATGTTTCCACACCAGTACTACACCAGTACCACAGTGTCTTGAGTGCTGTAACTTTATAATTAGTCTTCAACTCAGGTAAGCATAAGTTCTCAAACTTTAATCTTTTCCAGAAGCTTATTTATTTATAACCTATTTAGACTGTTCTGTTCCTTTGCATTTCCATAAAACGGTTAGAATCAGCATTTGAATTTCTACAAAAATGCATCCCAGGATTTTAACTGGGATTATGTCAGTTCTGTAGGTGACTTTGGGGAGAATTGATACCTTAACTTTATGTCATCTAAGTTCTCTCAGCAGTGTTTTATAGTTTTAATAAACATCTTTCAATATGTATTTTTATATTCATAAGGATAGATTATCAATAATAATCTTGGAACAAAAGATGTGAGGATTTTAGTATTAATGGTATTATCAGTTTACATGACAAAAATATAAGAATTTATTTTCTTACCTGGAACCTATGAACTTTTATTCTCTACATCTTCCACTTGTTCTGGGTATAATCATTCATATATCTTTTTTTTCTAACATAGTACATGAAAGAGGAATTTTTATTTTTGTTTTACCCATACTAGTGATATGGAACATATTTTTTATGTTAAGGATGCCTTTAATCTATGTTTCATGTTATAGTTTTTTTTTAAAAATATCTCTGTCATTTGTCTATTCATACGATATTCTTTTCTGTATAGCAATTTTAGCAGAATTTTAACCTGTATAGCAATTTTAACCTAACTGTGTTCTTCATTCTTTTTATGACTTTTGGGTTTCTATCTTTGATAGTCCACCTTATCCTAATATATTTCAAATATTTTTCTAAATTTTCTTCTAACTTTATGGCATTTTGAAGAGTTTTGTCTCAGTTTTTTTCCTTCACTGTCAGAGAAGAAATATATGGTAATTTATAGAAAAATTAGAAGTGGAAAAATCAGAAAGAAGGAAAAAATCACTTTCGCTTAATATAATCCATGGGAAAACAAGTGTTTTCTTAAAAAAATATGATTAGTATTTATTTTTTGACAGGGTCTTGCTCTGTCAACGAAGCTGGAGTGCAATGGCATGATCTTGGCCATTGTAACCTCTGTCCCTCAGGGTCAAGCCATTCTCCCACCTTAGCTTCCTAAGTAGTTGGGACCACAGGCACATGCCACCATGCCCCACTAATTTTTGTACTTATCACAGTGTTTCTTCTTCAATAGTTGATGAAATTTGGGTAGTTTTCACTTTTAGCTATTAGGAATAATGCTACTAAGAATGGTTCTGTCCAAATTTTTGTGTGGATATATGTTTCAGTTTTCTTTGGTATGTATCTGGTAATGGAATTGCTGTTTAACTTTCTGAGGAACCACGAAACTTTTCCAAAATTGCTGCACCGTTTTATAATACCTCCAGGATTGTAGGAGGGTTCTAATTTCTCTGCATTCTTGCTAACACTTGTAATTGTTCATTTTTAAAAATACAGCCATCCTAGTGTGTGTGAAGTGGCTTTTCATTATAGCTTGCATTTTCCTAATGACTAATGATGTTTACTATCTCTTTTTATGCTTATTTGCCTTTTGCATATGTTTTTTGAAGAAATATCTAGTCAAATATTTTGCTCATTTTAAGACTGCATTGTCTTTTTATTTTTAAGTTTGGAGTCTGTACATAGATTGTGTATCAGGCGCCTTATGAGATAGATGATTTGCAGATATTTTCTGCCATTTTTGGGAATTGACTTTTCACTTTTCCGATGGGTCCTTTGGAGCACATTATTTTTTAAACTTTGGTGGTCCAATTTATCTGTTTTTTGTCTTTTGTCACTTGTGCTTTTGAAACCATATTTAAGAAGCCATTGTCTAATTAGGTTATTGTCTTGATATGTTTTCTGTTCCTTATAGCAATACCTGAAACTAGGTAATTTATAAATAAAGGAATTTATTTCTTAAAGTTATTGAGGCTGAGAAATCCAAGGTCAAGGGGCTACATCTGGTGAGAGGCTTCTTGCCAGTGGGGTCTCTGCAGGACCTGAGGTGCTATAGGGCATCACATGGTCAGGAGGTGAGCATGCTAGTTCAGGTCCTTCTTCCTCTTCTTATAAAGCCACCAATGTCACTCCCTGATAACCTGTTAACCCATGAATGGATTAATTCATTCATAAGGACAGGACCCTCCTGACCTGCTCACCCCTCTTAAATGTCCCACACCTCAATGGTTAAGTTGTAATGTGAGTTTTGGAGGAGACAAACGTTTAAACCATAGCAGTCATGTAGATTTATTTCAAACTTTTTAAGGGATTGACAGCCTTAGTTCTTACCCAAAGGTTTAAATCCATTTTCAGGTAATTTATGTACAGATGCACCTCAACTTACAATGAGATTACATCCTGATACACTCATTGTAAATTGAAAATACTGTAAGTTGAAGATACATTTAATGCTGACAACAAAACAGACGGTCTGTGACTTACCATGTTTCAACATAGGATTTTCAACTTCACGATTGTGTGGAAGTAATACACATTGAATAGAAACTATACCTCCTTTTTAAGTTGTAAGGCGCTCTTAGATTTCTATGGGATTATATCCCCAAAAATGTACTGTAAAGCTAAAAAAATCTTAAGTCAAACCATTGTAAATATGAGAACATCTCATGTATATTGTGTGACGTCGGGGTCTAACTTCATTCTTTTGCATGTGGGTATCCATTTTTTTTCAGGAGTATTTATTGAAAATATTATTATTTTCTCATGAATAAACTTGGCATCTTGTCGATGTTTACCTTTTTCAATGTGTTAATATTGACACTAATGGTGCAAAAGCAATGGTAGATAAAACTGTTGGCACCTCGCTGTGAATCAAGGCAGCGATGGCACCAAACTATTGGTAGTTGTTGTATTATTTACTACCAAACACTTGCAGTAAAAAAAAGATGCCAGTTTCACTTTAAAATGTCCTTGATCTAGCAGTAAAAATGAATGATCTAGCAGTAAAAATGAATGATATTAAAGCTTGACCCTTGAAAGTATGTCTTTTTAATATTCCATGTGATGAAATGGGAGGTACTCATAAAAGCACTTCTGTTGATGCTGAATCGTGCAGATCATCTCTTGGAAAAGCACTTGATGTAACTATTTGAGTTGCAAACCAGTGTAGCAAACTTAGTCAGATTTGGGTACTTTGAGCATTGAAGCAAGCACTTCACTTCAAGGAAAATAACTGACAGTATTTGTCAATGATAAAATCCAAGTTTTAAGTAAAACCTGGAAAAAGTTGAGAAAAGTTATATCTGCCATTTTGAGTTTGATGGTGTGCCAAAATTCGATGACTTTTCTGATGAGATTGCTGGTGATACCAATCAGTTTTATTTGGGGATGTTGGGTAATATAATATGTCAACATATGGGAGCTCTGTACAACTCAACCAATATTTTCAAATTAATCCATATGTTATCTTATAAAATCATGCATATTTAAAAACTTCATTCAAAGTACAAGATAGGTCAGTGGATTTTAAAATAACAATACAAAAAGTTCCCTTATAATTTTATATTCTACATTGTAAACTACAAAGAAACTACTACTCATTGAGTGTTTGTGCATATCAAAGAAGAATGTCTTCAGTTATATGAAAAAGCTTTTAAAGTTCTCTCTTCTCCAACTGTGTATCTGTGTGTAGTTAGATTTTCTTCACATCCTTCACTCAGGACAGCCTATTGCAACAAATTGAATGTAGAAGCAGATATGAGAATCCAACTTAATTTCTATTAAGCAAACATTAAAGAGATTTGTAAAAATTATAAAACCATGTCACCTTTCACTGATTTTTTGGTTTTAAGAAATATAACTATCTCCCATGAAAATATCTATGTTGTTAGTGGGTTTATTATTTTTAAATGAATTAAGTGTATTTTAAATTTCTATTTTTATTTCTAAAATGATAAATGTTGGTAGACATAAGTCACATAAATGAAAACTCTTTGAGATCTTCAATGATTTTTAGGACTATAAATGTGTCCTGAGAATAAAGATTTGAGAACCACTAATTTAATAGAACTTTTTTGTTGCTTTTGATAGAGAGGTTAGGAAGGGGCTTAGGGAATGTTAAGTTTGTGGGGAGGGTACACTTTTAATTAGAGTGGTCAGGGCATGCATCACCTAGAAGGGCATCTTCTGACCAACTTGGAGGAAGTGAGGAAGCAAGCTGTGCTCTGACAGTAGTTAAGCCCAAAGCCCAGAGGTGAAAAGATTCACAGAATAGCAAGGGAGGGATTGCAGCTTCAGCGTAATACGTGAGGGGAGTGTAATGGGGAAGGAAATAAGGTAAGAGAAAATGTGAGGTCCTGGTGGTGGTGGTGATGATTAGTTTTTTGGGACTTCATAAAGCCATTTTGATGGCTTTAGTTTTCAGTCAGTGAAATTAGAAGTCACTGAATTTTTTTTTTCTCTTTTCACATGTTGTATCTTATATTTTTAAAAGATCCATCTGCTTGCAATGCTAAGAACATTCACAGGTTGGGATAGGGTGGAGTTAAGTTTAAGACTAGTGAGGAAGGTAGTATTACTGATGACAGAAGAATGTAGTTTAGATCAGGATTGTGGCAGCAGAGTTGGAAGTGTCAGATTTTTATATGCTCTGGGGATGAACCCAGTAGAATTTCCTGGAAGATTGTATGTGGGATGATAGTGGAGTCACAGATGATGAAGATATTTGGCCTGAGAAAATCCTTCATGCAGTAAATTCAGTTGATCTTAATATTGTTTATAGCTTTATTTTTGCCTGTAATTAACAAAATTAATATGTTAAAAAAATTTTATGGCCTCTGGATTTTGTCTCCTAAAAGAAGTCTTCCTTAATAAGAGTAGAAAATTATTCTTGTATTTTCTTCTAATTCTTTTAGATAGTTTTGTTAAATTAGTTCTTCTACCTATCTGGTGTTTATTTTTGCTCTCACTAAAGCAGAGTTTCTCAAACTCAGAACTATTGACACTTTGGGCTGAATACTTCTTTGTTTGCGGAAGAATGTTCTCTTCTGTGCATTATAGGATATTCAGCGGCATCCCTGGCTTCTACCCACTAGATACTGGTAACACTCACTTCCTACCTCAGTTAAGACAACTAAATATATTTCCAGATGCCCCCAAATATTCCCTTGGGGACACAATTACTCCTGGTTGTGAACTTCAGTAAAGAACGTTTAGAAAAATGAAGCCCTGATGCTTGAGGTATGCATACTTAAATAGAATGCCCAGTTTTATTTTCATCACATTAGTGTCATTAACAATGCAAATCTAGAAACTATTATGAATATATGGAAGAGATGGGAAGAGGAAAACCAAAGCACAGATGCTTCAACTTGAATCAGTTGTTTGGAACATAGTAACCTTGCCAGCATACTGGCCAAAGTTTGAGCAGAATGATCTTAAATTTTGAAAAAGGAAGAATTAATAAGCAGATTTTGTCCCAGAATGATGCTTTACTTGTTTGTATATATATATATATTTTTTGGTATTTGTATCTTTCATGTTTATTTTGGTTCTTGTCCATAATTATATGCTTTAGTTGAAACAACAGTGTGAAGCAGTAGAAATAATGTACATGATGAACTGGACTGATAATCAGAAAACCTAATCAGAAACCTAAATCTCTTTTTAGATTTCAATTTTGATCAATTTTGGTTTCAATTGATCTTCACTTCTGTGGTCCGAAAAATGAAGAATCTTATTGTGAAGATCAGTTAAACTAGCGTACTAAAAACCTTTAAAAAATTTAAAGCAGTATAAAGAGTTATTAATATAAGGAACTATTATTTTACCTGCTTTAAGATTTTTGACAAAAATCTATGATATTTAAAACTTAAAATTGTATCATAGTTCTAGACTTGTACTTTGAAATACTGTAGTCACTAACCACATATAGCTATTGAGCATTTGAAATGTGGTTAGTCCAAATTGAGATGTATGCTAAGTGTAAAATGTACACCATAGTTTGAAGAGTTAGTATTAAAAAAGAAATAAAATATCATCATAATAATATATTGATTACATGTTGAAATGATAGGATATATTGTTATGATAGATTATGAAAATTAATTTCAGTTGTCTCATTTATTTCTTAATGGTGTTACTGGGTTACTTTAAATTATAGATATGGCTCAGTTGTGTTTCTAGTGGACTCTACTGTTCTAGACTTGTTTGATGTTAATTTATAAAAGATAAACTCCAACAAGTGCCATTATCTGTAATATATGTTCTATAGAATCAGAGAATTTTAGTTTGAAAAGGGTTTTCCCTATCAATTTTAATAGTGTTTGCAGATTATATTTTCCTCAAACCTCAGGGGAACTGTGATGCTGTATATTTTTTATTTAGATTTAATTCACGTGTTTGGGAACTTTGGATTTAAATTTGATTTTTTAAAACAATTTTTATATAAAATATTCAGATATTATATACTAAATTTAAAAGCAGAAAACAGCACTAGTTAGTACCATTAGAGTGACTCATTGATTATTTAAGTTGTGGCTGTCCCATATCTTTGTTTGACTCTATTGGATTATGTATAATTTTGGAAGCAGGTAGACTGTTGCCTATGTCTGGGCCTGATTTTCCCAATACTGTGCTATCAAACATCATAAGTCAAATTGTATCATGAAGCTTCTGTCATCTTGTGTTTAATAGAATAACTTTATTAGTCTTATTTCCTGACTTCACAATTAAATTTTATAACCTTATGAAATTATTAGAACACAAATAAATCCATTTGATAAGTACTTTGATTTTTGCAAAAAATACCTTTGAATTTACAATTTAAGAAGTATTTCTGCTGCAGAAAAATGGTTTGAAAAATCCTAATTTAATTAAACTTTTCATTTTACAGATTAAGAGTCTGATTCTAAGGAAAAATAGTTTCCCAAATTTTACACAATTAATTGAGTATTGATATCTGAATCCTGTGTATACAGTGTAAGTACTTTCTGTGTTATAGTACTGTTCTAAGGATTATAATATTTGAGTAGGGGTTGGATCTAGAACATCTTGATTCAAATTATGTCTTTAAAATAATATATTTGTTCATTATGTAGAATAGTTTTAAATTATGTATATGTATTTTTTCCTGAATTTTCTTCGAGCTATTCTCATCTGGTCTTTAGACGCACAAGGGTAGGAGCTTTACCATGGTACTGGGAACTTTCTTCATTATCCTTTTGAGTGAGCATTGTAGAGGCAGGTGAAAGACAGGCAGATTGACTCACATCCACAGAGTAGGTTATGCTGTCTACCCGATTAATAATTTTTTTCATAGTGGGGCTCTTCGGTGAGTGTCACATGGGACCTAAAATGTTCTTATGTGTCAATTCATAGAGTCGTATTCATATACCTCTTCAGATTTAAGTTTTCCAGTCTTGCTCCTTCAGCATTCCTGATGATCCTGCAGAAACTATTAGCCATTGCATATTGATATGCATAGATTATTAACTCAGGCAATGTCTTCTTTAGGCAAAGTAAATGTAATGGTAGATCTTTCTACTGTGAAGATTTTCTCTCATTTCTTAGTCTGCCATCCTACCCCCATCCCCACCCCCTCACCCGGGTTGGGGTGTAATGCCTCAGCAATCTATTTCTGGAAGTTACTGGCATTAAGTGAGAGCCATGTATAAACTAGATGTTTGCCCCCTCTGGTGTGAAATTCTCCAGGAGGCCATCTGTATTATTTGAGGGAGGGATAGTGATATGAAAGAGTAGGTTTCTGATAGTTTGAGTAACCTATTCAAAAACTTCCTTGTGCCTTTGGGCTTGCTTTGTCTTATATGTACTGTATATACCACCTCCATTTAATGAAGAAGATCTCTTGGGTACATCTACTTTTTATACATAAAGAAGGAGGGTATCATAGTTCCTGAAAGATGTATGTAAATTATTTCTTTCCCATATACCCATATGAATGGTTACAGGGCTCTTTAGTGAATGCCGGGAAGATAATTTTGGTATAATCCAGTATAGGGTTCTTTCTTGAGCATACCTGGTGATCTCTTCATGTAAGAAATTAATCGGTCTATAAACTGAGTAAAGTTTGGGAATTGGGTGAAGGCCTGAAAACATTTAGACTTTGGCGAGACTTTCTATTCTGGTCCTACATACTCCTCTTTCATCTTTTTATCTTTTTCCTCTGAGCTTTGAGGTATTCTGTCAAAATTTTCTTCTAATTTTTCTTTATTTTAGGTTTAATTTTCCCATTATAGTTTTAAATTTATCATGTATGTATAGTTCATCCTAATCTCAGTTGTTATATCTTCACCTTTTAACCTTTTCGATAACAGGACTTTGCTGTTTCTTTTAGTACATCTGTTTCTGTGGAGTAGCATTTCCTTGATTTCTTTTAAGTGGCTCCCTTATTTTGTGGGGAAGGGCATCTAGTGTTTTTCTTACTCATCCTCATAGAAATAAACTGATGCTTGTCAACTCTTTTTTTTTTTTTTTTTTTTTTTTTGAGACGGAGTTTCGCTCTTGTTACCTAGGCTGGAGTGCAATGGCGCGATTTCGGCTCACCGCAGCCTCCGCCTCCTGGGTTCAGGCAATTCTCCTGCCTCAGCCTCCTGAGTAGCTGGGATTACAGGCACGTGCCACCATGCCCAACTAATTTTTTGTAGTTTTAGTAGAGACGGGGTTTCACCATGTTGACCAGGATGGTCTCGATCTCTTGACCTTGTGATCCACCCACCTTGGCCTCCCAAAGTGCTGGGATTACAGGCTTGAGCCACCGCGCCCGGCCGCTTGTCAACTCTTAACTCAGAGTCAAGTAATAGTTGAGCTGTATTGTCACAATAGATGATGATTCCCTGAAATTGGGAAATATTTACATTTCTTGAATATTTGCCTTATCATTTTTAGAAACCTAATCCTCAGATTAACTGTGATAGAAAATTTTGCCTTGGTGCTAAAGATTCCTTCCCTTTTCCACTTATTGTGGCCAGTGATGCCAGTAATGAGGCCTGGATGTACCTAACCTACTTATCTTCTGTCTTTTTCTTTCTTTCTTTTCTTTTTAAAAGAATTTTTTTTTGAGACAGAGCCTTGCTCTGTTGGCCAGGCTGGACTACAGTGGCACGATCTCAGCCCACTGCAATCTCCGTCCCCTGGGCTCAAGCAGTTCTCCTGCTGCAGCCTCCTGAGTATCTGGGGTTACAGGCATCCACCACCACACTCAGCTAATTTTTGTATTTTTAGTAGAGATGAGGTTTCACCATGTTGGTCAGGCTGTTCTCGAACTCCTGACCTCAAATAATGCACCTGCGTCAGCCTCCCAAAGTGCTGGGATTACAGGTGTGAGCCACCACACCCAACCTACTTTAGTGTCTCTAAGCTCTGCTTCACTTAGTGGTGTCCAGGTCTCGGCTGATTTCCCTCAAAGATAAATCCCAGAGTTGCATAATGATGCTGATAGAGTCCAAATGTTGTGAATTCACACAAAGTGGGGAGTGCAAACAATGTGCCCCTTTTTGGTTCACCATCTGCCCTTCTAGCACTCACCTCTTTGAGTTATGGGTTGTGGGAAAGAGTTTACATAAAGGAAAATGGTTTTCTCACAGGAGGAGAAGGAGGTCCCTAGTGGGCATAATTTGGCACCTTTCATTATATCACATCTGTCCAATATCCATTTGGAATTTGTTAAAGTTTCTGGAAAATAAAGGTTACTCTTCTCTGTTTTCCAGTGATGATATTCTATCTATTTAAAACATGTTTTAATACTTATTTCAATAAAAAATTTTAAAAGTGTAGAATGCAGTGAACAGTTAGATTTTATTTCATCAGCATCTTGTTTGGTGTTTATAATTTTTATCAACATGTTTAAATTTGATAAAAATACAGGCATATAATTATTTTTAGACCTATGTTTATATGCCAAACATAAGGCTAATTGCAGTTAATTTTGATAGCTAATGAGTAATTATTATTTGCTTTTTAGAAAATGGATTCTACATCTCTCTTACCAACATTTTTAGATGTGGATCTGACAATATCACATATTGAATGTCTTCCCAAGGATATTCTGGTGAAATTTCAAGGCATAAATAATAATCAATGTGAGTTTGACTACCACATATTGCAGAAGGAAATACAACATACTCCAAAAGTGAAAAATAATGTTGAAATTGATGAATTTTGTTTGGTGGAAGAAAGAGTATCTGGAGAATGGCAGAGAGGAAGAGTTGTGGAAAAGAAAAATGAACTCTATACAGTGCTGCTCATAGATCGCGGAGAAGAACTAAGAGTTGCTGGTCCACAGATTGCTTCAGCCTGTGGCAATTTATTTGAGTTACCGCCACGGGTAGTATTTGGTATTTTTGCCAACATACTACCAGTTGGGGAAAAATGGTCTCCTAAGGCTTTGAGTTATTTCAAGTCATTAGTAGGAATACAAGTAAAAGGTTATGTGCAAGCTATTTTACCTCTGCAAATGTTTCTTTTTGAAGTGCCAAAAATTATATCTCAGGCCCTTGAGTTACAATTAGGAAGACTTGTTGATGGAGATTCATTTCGTCTTCTTGTGGAAATGTTAAAAGAATTCCCTCAACAAATGCCAGATTTATTGCAACATAAAATACCTGAATTGTCATTAGATAATAAAGATACTTCACTTGATATTCAACATGTTCTGGATAAGTTGCAGCCATCTTTGTCAGTAGGAAGTACTGAAAGTGTAAAGGTATCATCTGCATTGAGCCCAAGTAAATTTTATTGCCAGTTAATAAAATGGACTCCAGAGCTAGAAAACTTGACAGCACATATGACTTTGCATTATGATACTGTCTGTCAAGAAACCAGCCCCATGTGTGATAATTTTGGACTACTTTGTGTTGCCAAAAGGCGAAATGGACAGTGGCATAGGGGAATTCTTCAGCAGCTCTTGTCCCCAGATCAAGTAAAAATTTGGTTTATGGATTATGGGAGTAGTGAGGCCATACCCTCAATTTATGTAAAAAAACTTAAACAGGATTTTATTTTAGTACCATTATTTTCATTTCCATGTTCTCTGACATGTTTGCACAGTCCAGATAGAGATGCAAGAACATTTCAACTGAGTATATTTAAACAGGCCTTGTTAGGTCAAGTGGTATATGCACACATTGATTGGTTCAATAAGGATGAGCATTTGTATTATGTGACATTACAAAGCCGAGAGTCTACAGTTAATTCTAAGGGTCTACTGAAGACTGTAGGAACACAAGTATTTTGTCCCATGTCTGATTCAAAAATTTCCAATATGTTGAGTGAGACAAATGCATCTGATGTAAACAGCTTTGCAGTTGAGGGTTTTATGGGAAATAATGAATGGTCAATAGACTATCTAAATGAAAAAAGCATTTTGAAAGTAGGTTTTCCTGTTAAAACAGTAGAAATGGAGATAGAGGCCGCCTACGTAGCTTTTATAGCATATGTATTAAACCCATCAAATTTTTGGGTACGCACTAATGACCATCAGAATGAATTTCAAGAAATAATGAAAAATATAAACAAATTTTATGATTTATGTGAAAACGATGAAATGATTCTAAGAAAACCTGAACCTGGATTGTTTTGTTGTGCTAGATATAGCAAGGACAGACATTTTTATAGAGCTGTCATCACTGAAATTAATGGTTATAAGATTAATGTTTATTTTTTGGATTATGGCAATACTGATTCCATACCATTTTTTGATGTAAAAATTTTGCTTCCAGAATTTTGTGAGTTGCCTGCCTTAGCCATGTGCTGTTCACTTGCACATGTATTTCCTGTTGAAGATTTATGGACTAAGGCTGCAATTGATTATTTTAAAAAATTAGTTTTGAACAAAGCAATTTTGCTTCAGGTTATCACAAAAAAAGATGACAAGTACACTGTAAATATTCAAAGTGTTGAAGCCTCAGAAAATACCGATGTTATCTCTCTTATGTTACAAGCTGGATATGCAGAATATTGGCAAGTAGAACCAGAGTATTTTCCAAAATCTGTAAGTGAATATTCAATGTTAAATTCAAAATCTAAAAACAAAGTTAGTATTAAAAAAGTCATATCTGCCCTTCTTGAAGGACCTACGTCTAAAAAATACCATTCAAATAACCTGATAGAAAAAAACTCGTCTTTGCCAAAGTCCCCAGCTGTTAATTTCTCAGATTTAAAAAATCCTTTCACCTTGTCTGTGGGACCTGAGTCATCCCTGCCTTATAAAGAACATATTTTTAAGCCAGGAACAGTTCTTGAAGTTAAATGTTCTTATTTTTATGGCCCAGGTGACTTTTCATGCCAGCTCCAATGTAAGTTAGAAGACCTAAAATTACTAATGGAGCAAATTCAGAATTATTATAGCATTCATTCTGATCCTTATCAGATTGGGCAGATTGCTTGTGTTGCTAAGTATTCTGGGAAGTGGTATAGAGCTGCTGTTTTGACTCAACTATCAAAAGAAGTTGACATAGTATTTGTTGACTATGGTTACCAAGGAAGGGTTTTAATTAAAGATCTCTGCGCTATTAACCCACGTTTTCTTTTATTAGAAGCTCAAGCCTTCAGATGTTGTCTTAACCATTTAGTTGAACCTGTAAGTTGTAAATTATTCAGTTGGACAAGAGAAGCATACAGACACTTTCGGAATTTTATCTTTTCATCTAGAGGATCATTGACTTGTATCATCTATGCCTTATTTCTTGTGTATCCAAACCGTTTATATAACTTAGTAGATTTACAATCCTCATTTACTAGTGCAAAAGAATTTCTTATTAATAGTGGCTCTGCTCAATACATCACATTATCAGAGCCATTTTCATCTTTAGCTAGTCTTTACAGTTACTGTTACTCTTCCTTTAATATAAAAATTGGAAGTGAAGAAGAAGTGTATATATCTCATATCTGTAGTCCCAAAAAGTTTTATTGCCAGCTTGGCAGAAATGATAAAGATCTAGAGATGATAGAAACAAAAATCACAGAGATTATTAACCTCAAAAATTGTCCAAAATATGATTCTAATAAAATGAGATTGTGCATATCTAAGTATGTAGAGGATGGTCTCTCATACAGAGCTTTAGCAATACCAACAGATTCATCATCTGAGTTTCTAGTCTACTTTGTAGACTTTGGAAATAAGCAATTAGTAGGAGAAAATATGTTGAGAGCCATTTCAGCTCAGTTTCCAGAGTTGTTGTTTACACCTATGCAAGCTATTAAGTGTTTTCTGTCAGATCTTAGAGATGTAGATGTTCCAGCAGAAATCAGTAGTTGGTTTAAAGACAATTTCTTGGGAAAACCATTAAAGGCAGTAATATTGTCCAAGGAGTCAGATGGACAGCTTGGTATAGAATTGTATGATGGACCTCAATATATAAATGAGAAAATTAAAATGTTGCTTCATGCTTATGGAAAAAAACATGGTGTCCAAGCATGCTGCATGGAAAAGAGTGATAAAATAAATGAGAATAAGAGATTTACTGCTTCTTTGAAAGGCAAAAAAGAAAACAACTATCACCATAATATGACAAATAAAACTAGTCTCATAACATATTCTGAAAGAAAAGTAGATAAATTGATGCATCCCAAAAGTATATATCCCAGGTTTTTGAAACCATCAGTTTGTTATAAAATAGAATCTGTGCCAAAAAACAAAATGAAGAATTCTTTGAATGATGGTCTTAAAGGTGTAAAAATTGTCTCTGGATCTGCACATATTCTTGACAAAAGTGGTGTGGGCCAAAAATCAGTAAAGGTTGTATCACAGTCTTTTATCAGGGAGTTAAGTCAAGTAGCCTTACAAAACCCATATGACCTTATTAGGCCACAGATCAAAGACCTTCCTCAACCCCAAATTTATTTGAATGCCAAAGTTAAAGGGTATGTATCTAATATCAGTAATCCAGCAAGTTTCCATATTCAGCTTGCTGAGAATGAAAGTGTGATTATCAGACTTGCTGATGCTCTAAATGCAAGAGCAAAGAGATTGAAGGAGAGAAAATCAGTTAAACCTCTAGTGGGAGATCTTGTAGTTGCAGAATATTCTGGTGACAATTGTATTTACAGAGCAGTTATTAAGAAAATTTTGCCAGGAAATTCTTTTGAAGTAGAATTTATTGACTATGGTAACTCTGCAATAGTAAACACATCTAAAATGTATGAACTTCAGAGGGAATTTTTAACTGTTCCTCAGCTAGGAATCCATTCTTTTCTTAGTGGAGTAAAATGGAACGAGCCTGATGAAATATGGGACAACAAAACTGTGGATTATTTTACTTCAAAAGTACATGACAAAACAGTTTATTGTGAATTTTTGAAAAAACATGATCAGAGATGGGAAGTAAATATGATCTGTGATGAAAGATGTGTCATTAATGAACTACTGAAATGGAAAGCATGTTCAAAACTACAGAAGTCAGCATTGCAAATACCTCAGGTTATCTCTCAAAAGGTGAACCCAGGTGATGATAATGAAATGAACAATGGAAGATCAATTGAGTCTGAAAGTTCTATGAATTTGAACCAACAGCTGTTTAAAATTCCTTTGGAAGAGTTCAAACCTGGACAGCTTGAAAAAGCTGAAATACTTCATGTTTCAAAAAGTGGAAGATTTTATGTGACGTTATCCAAAAATAAAAAAATTTTATCAGATTTAATAGTATTAATTACTGAAGAAGAAAAAAATTCCCCTTTTTTATCAATGGAAAGTATTGAAAAAGGTTTAGAATGCTTGGCAAAATCTAAAAATACCTTGAAGTGGCATCGATCAAAAGTAGAAGAAAAGTATGTTGATGATAAAGTACTTGTTTTTTTAGTAGATTGTGGTGTCTATGAAACAGTGCCTGTATGTAATACCAAGCTGCTTAGTAATGAAATAAGAAATATTCCTAGACAAGCCATACCTTGTAAATGGATGTGGTTTGAAAATTCTAAGAATATGTCATTTGAGTGCTTATTTGCTCATTTGGAAATAAATATCCTTTTCCTGAAATATTTAGATGCTGTTTGGGAAGTAGAGATTTTGGTAGATGACCTGTTACTTTTGGAATACTTAAATCCGAATTCAGTTCCTATTGAAGAAAACAAGCTTAGACCTGAAGAAATTGTTTACAATATTGAATCTAAGACTCCTATATCATCATGTGCAATAAAATCGTTTACTTGGGCACAATTCCAAAATGATAGGCAGTATTCTGGTATTGCAACTTCTGTTTCTGATCCATCAGACTTCTATATTCAGTTAGAAGATTCCTTTGATATAATGAAATATCTTTTTATGTTGCTTTCTGATCTACCAGAGACCTTAGAAACATTTCCTCAAAAGTTCATAATTCCTGGTTCTAGTTGTTTGTTCAAATATAAATCAGAAGATCAGTGGAATAGAGCAGAAATTTCTGAAGTCTCACATCAGTCTTTACGTCTTTTGTTGATTGACTATGGATTTTCTTTTTATATACATTATTCAGAAATTATAAATCTTAAAGTTGTTCCTGAGGAACTTTTGAATTTGCCAAGGCTGAGTTATCCATGTATTTTATATGGTATCTTACCTGCTAAAGGAAAACATTGGAATGAAGATGCCAAAAGCTTTTTTCGAGATTTTCTAAGTAAACCAGACTTAGTTTTTCAGTTTAGAGAATATAATTCTGAAAGGAAATGGAAAGTAGATGTCATTCATGAGAAAAACAATTTGGCAGACATATTAGTTGCATCTGGTCTTGCAACTTATTCTGAAGATTCAGCTCATCTTCATGCAATTACTGCTATGGAATCTACTAAAATCCAATATAAATTACAGAGTAAGCCTACTTTCCCATTGTTAAATCAAAATTGTTGCAAAAAACAAAATTTTACATGCACTGAGAAACAGAAGTGTAAACAGAAATCTACAAAGAGGAAAGATGTTGATAAGAACCTCTTAAGGAAAATTCATATTAGTAAAAGATCACATTCTAGAAATTTGAGAAAGAAAGTTGATAGTGGAAAACATTTCCAGAGTACTATTTTGTTTGATACATGTACAACAACTTCATTTTGGGGACTGCCTGATGGTTTGAAGAATAGCAGTTATGTTGACATTTTTTTTGAAAAACTACCAGCTGAAGGAATACAGGAAAATAAGACAATGAATTTTAGAACATCAGTAAAAACATTGCATAATAAAGAAAAAATTATTTCAGAAGAAAAAAGGTAAATAGATATTTTTCTGAAGTCAATTTTCTTCTGTAGATTCTATTTTTTGATTCTTTTAAAGTTTTTTTATATACTAATATTATCCAGATTGAAAATATATTGCAGGAAAACTCACTAGAAAGTCTGAATAAATGGATGAACTGGAAGTGGCCACTATGATTATAAAATGTTGCTTCACTATCTTTACATTTTTTGAATGGCAAAATTTTTAGAATATAATGAAAGATTTTAACCACACATGCATGTACACGTATGACATTTGACAAATAATTTCAAGGGTTTCATAAAACTTCTAAATGTCTGTAGATCTCATGTTAATAAATCTTGCTATTGTTAGTGAGCTTCCTGGGCTCATTTTGAAGAATAATTTTTTGTTACATATTGTTTTATATCATATGACATATATCTTTAGGTTTTTTGAGTGTGCTTCCAGCATATTTCTAAACCAGATAAATTTATAAATATACCGACTGTAGCATATTTTCTCCTAAATCTCTTAGATGTCAAACTAATTCTAAAATATTGTTAACATTTTAATATTTTGTGAATTATAGTATTGTCTGATTTTGTTTATGCACATTACATTCATTTTCTTTATGGATTAATTACTGAGGATTTTGTAGGCTGTAAAGAATGTTCCCTGGCAAATGTTTGTTTTCACTTTATAAATAAAATGTGTATTATTCCACATTCTGTATTATAACTACTGTCATAACAGGCTGTACTCTTTCAGTGAGTAGAAGTGTCTTGTTTTTATTGATGTAGTATTAGAAGGTATTTTTAAAAATTTTACCTACATGTTCCATAGTGAATTGATAAATGCTTTACAATTGGCCCACTTTTCTATCTAATTTTCACATCTTTCCTGATAGCAGTAGTGGTTATAGTAGCGATAGAAGCAGCCACTTTATTTTGAATGCTTATGTTTCAGGCACTGTGCCAAAAGTGTTATATATATTATCTCATTTAATGCTTATCACAGCTCTATAAAGTATGTTGATATAAAGCTTTAGGAGCCTAATAACTAGTGCTCCACTTCTTTGAGTTTTCACCCACTTTCAGATAATCTGTTTCAGAAGGAGAAAGATAATTGTTAAGCAAAATGTCACAGTTAAACAAAATAAATAAAACCAATAACAATATTGAAAGCTGTGGCTTATATTCATGGAAACATTGGCTTACCAATAGTGAAATAAGGAATTATTTAGACTTATACAGATAATTATAGGTGTAGACAAGAGCATCGTCTTCGGGGGGTGGGTACCCATGTAAAACAGCCTGAGGCCATTGTCTCCAAAAGGAAGAGGAAGAACAGGCTAATCAAACATATGTCTTTCTCCTTCCAAGTGGACCAGTGAGATTGACCTTACTTCTGGAAGGTGGAACTAAGGAGAGCAAAGAGGCTAAGAGTGTTATGCTAGGAGAGTGCCCCACCCATGAACCTCCACATGGAAGGAAACATAAGGAGTAGGAAAGGAGCAAAGAAGCATTCTCCTCCAAGCTGTTATCACCACTTTATGGATGAGTCTCAGGGAAATTAAATATCTTGCCCATGAATTTAAAGCTGATAGGTAAGGGACTGAGATGTTAAGCTCAGATTTCTTTGACCACTTTCGTTTGTTATTTATTCTTTCTTTTGAAAAGTAAGCTTACTTGAGGAAGAGTTTCCTATAAATGCTTGGCACCAAGCCATACATTTTGGCTCTTATATCCTTTATTGTTCCTTTGCCTGTATATATGTCTACGTTTTTTTTAATGTTTTTTTCCATCAAATTCTTTAAGAACCCACTTTGGGCCCTTGCTTCTATCTCATAGCACTCCAAACACACAGCGAATCACTAAGTGAGTTAAAGTAGCTATTGTAAAAGTAGTTAGAAAACCAAACACTAAATTATACTTCAAAACAAAGATTTGAAGTCCTATTTAAGGAAAAAAATCATGACTTTGTTATAACAAATGTAAGAAATATGGTTTCATGGATTAATTATAAATTTCCATACTTGCTATAATCATTGCCTTAAAACAAGAAAACAACATAAAAAAACTGGTTTTATTACCTTTGCTATCTCAGCTCCTACCACCTCTATCACTCTTCCACCATTATTGCCTGAAGTTACTGAGTCTTGGGCAAAGTGATTTTAGTAGTTCCTCTTGGTTTAAGGCATCAATATTTGAAGAGTCTTACTAAAAAAGCATTAAAAATGGACTCTATTACAGTGATTCTCAACCTTGACTTTGCATTGGAATTAACAAAGGAAGCTTTCAAAAAACCCTGATGCCTGGGTCCCTATTAAAAATTAAACATTCTGTTTTAATTGGTCAAGAGTTTACTAACGGGTATTTAAAGCTTTCCCGGTGATTGTAATGCACAGCTAAGGTTGCTAATCACTACTATAGAGAGGACTGTGGATAACTTCCTGAATTATTTTGTGAGAAAAAATAATTTTACCCTTTATGTATAAAATCACTTAGAATCTATTCTTTCTGTATTTGGAGTCCAGGCTATACATAATGAGTCACAGTAATTTTGAGCTAAGCTTAATTCAGAGTCAATATAATAGTGAAAATATTATGTTAGAAATGGCCTAGTTGTGTAATATGTTTATTTTATCTTGCCCAGGTATTGTTCTAAATGCAGAAGTTGCCACCCTTTACAATTAGGAAAGTGGCGTAACTTTCCCATAGTGTCAGCCTATTTTAACATCAGTGTTTAAATATTCAAGGTATTGTTTTTATCTGCAGACGATTTTCTCCAGAACAAACTTGTTCGTCTTTTTCCAGCATGTTTTCTCATTTGTTTTTGTTTTTTAAAATCATGTTTGCTTGCCCACATGCTTGTTTTTGCCTGAAAATCCTTGTATAGATTATAGGAACTAGAGAATGTAATAACTCTTTCAAAAAAGCACAGAAATATCTGTTCATTCTTTGCTGATGAGGCCGTGCTTAATGGTAATACGTACCTATCCTTCTATAGTTGCTTATTTAACTGGAAGTCATCTTTGAAAGAAATTTGGAAAGTCAACTCATTTTTAGAGAAGAGTTTTTGATATTTTAAACAGGAGGTAACATCTAGACATCCAGAGGAAAATGACTGATAGGCATGTGAAATGTCAGATTGAGTCCTGAGAACCCAACACTGTTGAGTCATACAGGTTTATGAATTTGCTTGCATTGCAAAGTATGGGCACTGAGGCTGACTCCCTGAGTGTGAATATTTGTTTTATTTCTTATTAGTGATAAAACCATGGGTGAGGTTTTAAACTCTTCTGTGCCTCAGTTTCTTCTTGTGTAAAATGGAAATCATAATACTAACCACCCCTTTGGGTGGTTGTGAAGATTGAATAAGTTAAAACATGTAAAGCATTTTCAGTGTTGCCTGGTACATAATAAATGCTCACTAACTGTTAGAAATACAAATGATTATCCTGATAAAGCTATATTTGTTTTGAAAGTATTTTTGTGAAATCATAAGTTAAAATAAGTTTTGATGCTGCTAAGCAAGAACTGAACTATATTTAGAGTGAATACACACAGATGTATTTAGTGTAATGGTTATATTCATCATTAAATTTCCATTCTGAAGATATAATTTATGAGTAAGAAACGATTTATGAGTAAGAGACAATTGTACTTCCAGATAAAGAAGGAATAGGTTATATATATTTTCCATTGTGGACATATATTGCTAAATGAACTAGATGTTTTTAGTTGTTACACAGAATTATATATATAGCATATGATTATAATTATACATATAGTTTACATTATATATAGTATATGTTATACATATAAGATATGTATAACTTATTTATACCCAATATTTTTCCTTATTTACCTTTTATATTGTGACTTTTAGGAATTGCTAAGTAAAAGGGAAATCATGTTTATAGTAGGAATTTTTAAAATGAGTAAGTCTTAAGTAACTCTTGAGACCCATAATGCTTTGAAGATTATAATACAATATACTCCTGATTTTTTTTGTTTGTTTTTCAGTAGAAGGAAATGGAAGCTCAGATCACGTATGCATTAGTTTGATAACAAATGATACAAAGGATATCCAGTAATTGCTATTTTGGTTTAGATGCTGTAGAGCTAAAGTCGTAAGCATAGCACAACAACTTCCAATATTAAATCATGTTAAATGAATTTTTCAGATTTTTTTCCCGAGGAGACAATGTTAGTTTGCCATGGAAATTTTCTGTGACCTAGAACACGATGCTTTGCTTTTAAAAAGATTACTATTTAGTAAATATGGTTCACCAGTGTGAGATATCTTGAAAATATTTTATTTGATGAACTATTCTTCTTTGTATGTGGTTTCAAAGGCAATAAATACCCTTTTACCGTCTGATACTTTTCAGATGTCTTTCCTGACCTCTGTTTCAGGTGCTACTTTGTCCAGGCTTAATTGCAATAGAGAGAGTTGATGCTGTCGTTTCCCTGGAAAATATAAGTGCTTGTAGGAGTGATATTTATTAAAAGGAAATAGGGAAGAAGTCAGACATAATCCCATCTTTCCCGATGATAATATTCTATCATTTTATTTTTAGTGATATTTAATTTTAGTTGGGTTTTATACTTTTGGTTACTAGCTACTTGGAGATAATTGTGATATTTAAGAACAATATATCCAGTGGGGAAAAGGAATCAATATTTTGTCATTGCATTTACTATTGAATTTAAATTTATTTTGCAAGTAAATATTAATTGAGCAAGTTCAGAGTATTGTTTTGATGCAAAGATAGAACCATAAAATTATACAAGTGCACTTAAGAGTTAGCATAAGCCAAACAATTCTGAAGAACTGGATATAGGGAGATTGAAAGAATATTTGCAAAAATTTAGAAAATTCCTAAGCAGGCTAGGGACAATGTGTTAATATCTATATGTCTATGTTGAGCATGTCGATATTGTCATTTCTTTGACGTTGGGAAATAATTTCCAGAAATACTGTAAGTTTGAATTTGGTATCCTGAAAGTTAAAGTTTACTTAAGAGTTGGAAACTTTATCAATTTTTTTCAAATAAGTTCATCTCTAGTTTGTGTTTATTTTAGAATAAAGAATTTAACATTTACTTTTTGTAACCTAAACTCTCTGAATACTTTTGTGTCATTCCCTCTCCCCTAACCCCTGCCAGATCTTGAAGTTTATTTGCACTTATGAAGGCTCTCTGCTTTGGAATATAATTCATTTTACAGAACATCTTTTTTTTGTTTTTTTTTTTTTTTTTTTTTTTTTGAGATGAAGTCTTGCTCTGTCGCCCAGGCTGGAGTGCAATGGCACTTGGCTAATTTTGTATTTTTTTGTAGAGATGGGATTTCACAATGCTGGTCGGGCTGGTCTGGGAACTCCTGACCTCCGGTGATCCACCCACCTTGACTGCCCCAGGTGCTGGGATTACAGGCATGAGCCACGGCGCCCAGCCCCCACATTTTACCCAACTTCTATAGCTGTTGTATCACTGGGGTGCTTTTGTTGTTTAGTCACCATAAAATATGGCAAAGTTAATGATTTTAGTTTCTTAAAAAGAAAATAAATTTGAATGTCAAAGAACATTATATTATAATGCCTTTTGGGGGTGGGGCACACCACTTTAATCAGGAAGGACCAATCATTTGCCTGTAGTTTTCAGAGTTCCCTTAACTTCAGTTATGTCTTAATGTACAATATTTTAAATTTGGAAATGATAAAA